TGGGTGTCCCTCTCCTGCCACCCTCCCACCCCCCCGCGAGACACCGACGCGGTTTGGCCAGGGATGTCCCGCACCACCCACCGACGGGACCCCGCTGTGTCGCTCCATCTGCCCCGCGGGCCTACCCAAAGGCCGGGATTTTGCTGACCAGGGTGAACTCCTCTCCCGTGCTCCAGACGCAGAGGGTCCCAGCGTCATCGGCAGTCACCAGGTCACCAGCCCCGTCCTGCAAAGCAGAGGCAGGGCAGCCTCCGCCCCCGCCCGCCCCAGCACCGCTCGCGGCGCAGCCAGCTCTGCCGCCGGCAGCGAGCAGCTGACTCACACCAGGCAGGAGGTTCTTGCTGCTCCAGTTGCCTGCGCCGCTAAAGTTGCCGCAAAGCCAAGCCAGAGCCTGCAGCAGAACAGGCTTAAAGTTTAACAGCTCACAGAAACTGCTGCATGTTTTGTGAACAAGCAAGGCTTGGCTGTGATCTCACATGGGCATTGCAGTCCAAACATGTCCGTGTTTGGCAACGCTAATTACACATAGGATAAATTTCTAGGAAGAATTACTGCATCCCCTCCCTCTGCGCCTGAGTCTCGACACTCTTCACCTTACGGGCACCCGGGATTTCACATGCCCAGGCCCCGTCTCTCGCTCGCTAGAAAGCCTTTAACAAACCACGGTGCAAAGTCCGAGAGGCGCGTTAGAGGACAGTCACTGCAGACAGAGGCAGATGACAGAACAGCTTTCACGTAAACAAGCTCCATATCCAGGCTAATTGGGAACCAGTTCCAAGCAATTAATTGTTCAGGGGAGTCCCAAACGCAGAGCAAGTTAAATGTAACTAATTAGAGAAAGTATCAGAAAGTGTCCTCGTTGGGAAGGAAGCAGCCAATAATGAAGAAGCCAATTAGTGCCTCTGCAGAGATGTCAACCAGAGCGAGCTGAATTGAAGGAAGCGCCATCCTGGTCCCAGACTGTGCTCTGTAATCAGGTGAGGTTCTCTCATCTACCACGAGGAAGGTCACCGGTACCGCTGAGGGCTTGGGTCGGTCACCTCCCTCCACTGGGGAGGGGGAAGGCTCATCCCTTCAACCAGCACACAGGCACGGCTCTGCCCTCGGCGTCCTCGTCCCCCCGGGCCTGGCGTGGGGAGGAGAAGCAGGGTCCTGCGCCAGCAGCCAGCGCCCCGGGATGGCTCCGGAGACGCCGGCATGACGCGTCCTGTGCCCTCCTCTCAGGGTCTGCTGTAGCGACTCATCGCTCTGATGGCGGGAGCGTTAATTTTAGCGTGGGTTTATTCATGGCCAGTTTTGCTCATTTGCTCTTGTACCACAACTGGCCTTTAGCTTCAACAGCTCTTCTGTGCTCCGGCGCTCAGCCTGACGGATCACGGGATACTCTGGGCAGGCAGTGAGTCACGCTCCCGCAGCCACGCTGTGTGCGGGGGATCAGCTCCTTCACCACCTTTGTGGCCCCTCTCTGCTTCAGCATTTGTGTTCCCAGAGCCTGGGTGACCAGGACTGATATTCAGTCAGCCGAGAAACGTGGAGCCCGAGGTGCTAAGAAGGCAGAGACCGGCTGAACGCTGATGGAAACCGGGACAGTGGGATAACTGTTGGAGCGGCTGCTCCCAGCTGCCCGGGCAGCAAAGGGAATAGTCCTGAAATACCACAGTGTACGGCTGCAGCGTT